AGCTGCGTGGATAAACTCCCTTCTTTTTTGGGGGGGGAAAGCCCCCCCCCCCCGGTTTGAAAAAGAGAAAATGCATTTATTTATTGTTACTGGAAAATCAGAGAACATTTCTGGTACTTTTACTTATTTCCTACACAGAACTGAACCAAGCACTACCAACCTTCCCGTCTCCCTCATGCGGCAGAGCAACTGGGCAGAGCACTGAATGCTACCTGGCACCAAGAGAATGAACGATTCCCATTTTCTTACTCTTCTTGAGTTTTGGAGAGTGATCTGCAGCTGTGAGGGGTATTTGTATGTTCATTCAGCTAAATGCAGTTATGTTCACTTGGGTCAGCTGTTCATGCTATTCCTGAAGCTCAAGCCCAAGCCCCCTTTCCTCCCCCTTAGTGGGACCCCCAAACCAGCTTATTTATCCCTTATTTGTCTCTCCAGTGGGGATTGAAAGTAAGCACATGAAGCGGCCTTATCCTGAATCAAATGACTTGTCCAGCAAGGTCAGTTTTGTCTGCTTGGAACCGACAATGGCTCTGCAGGGTCTCAGGGCGAAGTCTTCCACACCACCTGCTACCTGGGTCCTTTTAACTGAAGATGCCAGGGTTTGAACCTGGGATCTTCTGAATGCCCATCAGATGCTCTCGCACTGAGCCACGGCCCCTCCCCAAAGTGGCTCACAATACAATAAAAAATTCAACAGAAACAGGAGAAGGGAGCAAACACCTTCTGCATACACAGCCAGTCTCCCATCCCACTCTGCTGGTGGATTTTCTCCCCAGTTTACAGCCAGTCAACAAGACAGCACAATAAAGTCTCTTTAATAAAAGTCTTTCCATCATTGCCAAGTCACCAGCAGGACACGTCTGAGTCCCCTTCCTAGGGACAGAGGAGGGCAGACCTAAGCAGCCCTGGCTGGAAGCATTTCTCCTCCACCGCCAATAACAATAATTATTTTTATTTATGAACGATTCCCATTTTCTTACTCTTCTTGAGTTTTGGAGAGTGATCTGCAGCTGTGAGGGGTATTTGTATGTTCATTCAGCTAAATGCAGTTATGTTCACTTGGGTCAGCTGTTCATGCTATTCCTGAAGCTCAAGCCCAGCAAATACTGACTGTAAGGAACCTTCCTGCCTGGAAAGGAAGCTGCCTCTTTGCCATCACGAACAATTACTAGTTTTATTTTATTTCCAAGGGCTGCTTCCCCCCTTTCCTCCCCCTAAGTGGGACCCCCAAGCCAGCTTATTTATCCCTTATTTGTCGCTCCAGTGGGGATTGAAAGCAAGCACATGAAGCGGCCTTATCCTGAATCAAATGACTTGTCCAGCAAGGTCAGTTTTGTCTACTTGGAACCGACAATGGCTCTGCAGGGTCTCAGGGCGAAGTCTTCCACACCACCTGCTACCTGGGTCCTTTTAACTGAAGATGCCAGGGTTTGAACCTGGGATCTTCTGAATGCCCATCAGATGCTCTCGCACTGAGCCACGGCCCCTCCCCAAAGTGGCTCACAATACAATAAAAAATTCAACAGAAACAGGAGAAGGGAGCAAACACCTTCTGCATACACAGCCAGTCTCCCATCCCACTCTGCTGGTGGATTTTCTCCCCAGTTTACAGCCAGTCAACAAGACAGCACAATAAAGTCTCTTTAATAAAAGTCTTTCCATCATTGCCAAGTCACCAGCAGGACACGTCTGAGTCCCCTTCCTAGGGACAGAGGAGGGCAGACCTAAGCAGCCCTGGCTGGAAGCATTTCTCCTCCACCGCCAATAACAATAATTATTTTTATTTATTTATTTGGCTCAGAGCGGATCACATCATAAACAGATAAAAACATACATTAATATAACAATATTTAAAACAACTAGGTAATACAATTTAAAACAGCTGTGTATAAACACGAACACAGTTCCAGCTGGAGTGGTTGGGTCCAGAGACCTTAATATTAATCTGGGCCGAATAATGATGACAATAAAATGATCATATGGCACTCTGTGTAGTATAGCCAGGGGATCCTGAGGTTATCTGGCAGCCTGAATTTCTAGCTCTTTTAGTGTTATGCACCACTAGATTGCAAGCTAAACTTATTTTTTGGGCTGAGAGAGGTTTGAAAGGTTGTCACTGACCCAAGGTCACCCAGCTAACTTCATGTGGAGGAGTGCGGAATCGAACCCGGTTCTCCAGATTAGAGTCCATCGCCCTTGACCACTACACCACGCTGGCTCTCATACCACCACCAATAGTAGCCTGTTTGTCCATATGCAAGGCTCATGCAATGTATAGCTGGTCCTTTTGCTTAGGGTAGAGAGATGCTGCAAAGAAGAGGTTCTGTGCTAGGGAATGCTCTGTACACCACCACACATTTGTGAGGAAGCTTGCTTATTTCCATAGGTGTCACAACTGCACATATTAACTTATATTTCTCACCCCCGTTTCTCAGTGAGACTAAAGGCAATTTAGCAAGTTAACACAATTCAGCAAAACTGGATCACACAATCTCAAGCACAGAATAAAGACAGTCTAATACAACCAATGGTTTGGATTTCACAGAAGGCGGGATCCCACGAAACCAGATTTCACAATTAAGAGAAAGTGAGACAAGGACAGTATAAATACAGCCAAGAAACAACACTGTACGAAGGTGGAGGCACAAGAAAGAGGCCTAACATTTTCTACAGGCAATTTTCTACAGGCAACGTTTCAGTGCCTGTATACAAAAATGACGTCCTGCAGAATTCCATTTCACTGAACCTTTCATGAAAAGTGTTCTGTTTAACGCTTTCTGAGACAGGAGAAAAATGTGGGAGACTCCCAGATCTTGTAGGCAGTCCACTGAGCTGGGGTGCCAGGGGCTGCAACAGAGAATGCTCAGGTACAGGTAGTTGTTGAACTTACCACACTGCCGGGGGGCACTTTCAGAAAGCTTTGTTCAGAAAAATCTCTAATGGGCCAGACCAAAAGTCCCTCTAGTCTAATTCTTTCTCAGGTTATGTTGAACACAGCTAAGACCAGGCGTCTCTCCCTTTTATTCAAAAGGCGAACCTGTCTGACAGACTTTTTAGTCAGACTCTTCAGACAGCCACTCCTGTAGCTGAGCTTTTACTTTACTGAACAGTAACTGCCGCTGAACTCAAAATGAATGAACTAATGCTCCCTTCAGCGCGCAGCTGATCTTATATTTCCCCTCAGCTGGCACTGGCCAATCAGAGAAAAGGAACACCCTGTCACTCAAGCTCAACATTCTAGATCAGAGATAATTATTCACTTCCCTTCTCTGCTTTTGCCGCATTAGGAAAACAGCATTTTAAATACAGCCCGCCACAGTTGCCATCACTACTTTCCATGTCAACAGGTCCTGCGAGGTCATAACAGAGTGAGAGGAGAACTTACCAATCAACATGCGGTATTTGTGCGGGTGCCGCGCATCCTCAATGACTGGGATAATGTTGGTTCGCTTCTTCGCCACGTTAATGAGGTCACGGCCTGAGCGGTGGGAGAACTCCACAGCATACACCAGCCCCTCCTGTGGTACCAGAAATAGGAAGGAATGAGAGCCAGTGCTGTGGCCACATGGCCTCAGAAAGGCCAGAGCCATGAGAGGCACCAACGACAGTGCCCCTGCTACAGCTGTATTTGTGATCTGTAACATCTGATGATACAGTGGCATTAAAAGTGGGCCACATAAAACCCATATTCATTATATGTTTACTAGCCTGATACTTGTGCTTCGCTATGGTATTTAAGTTCCATAAATCCAGTTATACTGATGATGTGAAGTTTGAAATGTAACATTTGTTGAAGGAATTCTAATGGAGAAGACTGTAGTGTAAAAAATAAAGTGAGACATATGTACTCCCCTCCCCCCTCCACTGAAGGATCTCTCTGTAGACCACATTGGTGGTTCTGCCCTCAGGTGCTAGGACCACCAGGCAACATAGAACTGTCCATTTAAGAAACTGTCCATTTAAGAAGCAGTTGTCTGTTCAGTCAACTCCTGCCACCTTCCACAAAAGTGATGGCCTTATTTTGGGTTTCTTGGTGCAGGAGTTTGGCCTGGGCATTGATTTTTTTATTTTTTTTTTACAAAAATGCTTATTTATGTTACATTTAAGAAGTGGGACATAACTACATATTCAAAACACCATCCAAGCAATCAGATATTAAGCAAGTTCATATGAACCAATTTTCTAGAACCCACATTGTGAGAAGTTAAATAACCTAATACAGGAAGCCACTTTTCTACAAATCTGGGATATATTTCCATAGTGGGTGGGAGTGTGTCTAATGCCATTGAGGAGGCTGGCCCAGCAGCATTG